AGGTCTCCAAACTCAGAAGAAGCAGAGAGGGGGAGGAAGCTAAATCTTTACTGCCAGATCTCCAAAACAGGTCCACGTGATCAGACTTGGCAGTAAAGAGCAATCTCTCTCCCAGAGTCTCCTGTGATCTGAACCCTGGCAAGTACATAATAATTTGTATTAAAATGAATGGCTGACAAGCATGGAGGGGGATTGCACCCTGAAACAGCAGAGATGAAAAGTACTAGTTCTCTCTCTCCAGCTTCACTGTGCATCTCTCCCTTACCACATCACTGCACCATCTGCATCAGGAAGATCCTTGGGGACAGCCCAGTTTGAAAGAACCAAGTTGCCAATAGGAGCTAGGTAACTCCCAGCCTCTAACCCTGCCATCAACCACACCATCAGTGAAACATCCTAGATCATGTCAGTGGCAAAAATTGTGTCAGAAGTGGGAAAGCGCTAATTTAAAGTTGAAACATCTACAGACAGCTGAGCACACAGCTGCTTTTTCAGGGCAAAACATCAAGTGCGGACAGAGGATAGACCCTGTGTCACTGCATGGGGCTATCATCTAATTCTGCTAGGGTTTTTTTTTCCTGAAAATGTGGCTCTTGCCTTCTCCTCACATTGGTTCTGTCCTTCATTTCCCCTTGTTTATTGCTATCATCTAATTCTGCTAGGGTTTTTTTTTTCCTGAAAATGTGGCTCTTGCCTTCTCCTCACATTGGTTCTGTCCTTCATTTCCCCTTGTTTATTCCTCCTTTGAAACAACAAAGACAGAGGCAGACCCAGAGGCATCTCCAGAATCTAACAGCTTCATCAGAATGATGTAACAAGTTCTGCAGTAGATGCTCTGCCCCCTATGTATAGGCATGCCACATCATGATGCAACTACAAAGGGGGCGTAGCTTGCATCACAATGTCCATTTCATCATTTGCCCCCTTTGGTCCTGCAGACCTCAAGTGCATTTGCCCCTCCCCTTTCAAACATTATGATACAACACCTGATCTTAATTAAGGCATGCCTCTTTTGCAAGTGTGAAACAATTCTTGCATGCAGCAGCAGGGATGTGGCCCAGTTTAAAGCCTTGGTTTCCCCCAACCCCAAACTGGCTTTATAAAAGCTGATTATTCAGGTAAGAAGTCTTGAGTATTCAGAAGTGGAGGAAACCCAACCTTATCCCTTGACTGCATCCACATGGAAAGGTTGCCTGCAAAACTCATGATTTACCTCAATGAAGAATCCTTTCCATCCTTTGTTTGGATTTTTCATTTCTTTCTTATAAACACTTGTGCTCTTTCCAAAGAAGAAAAAGACAAGAAATATCTCGTTACTGTTTAGGAAGTTTAAAAAATCCATGAGGAAACAAGACATCAAGCCACTGATGTATCTGAGTAAGTATTGTTTACAGACTGATAACGGCTTTTCTGAGTTTTTGTTAGTTTGTGCCAGACTGAGACTGAACATGCAGCCCAGGGGGCTGACATATGTACTGAGAAATGAGGGCAAGGCAGATAAAAATGGATGCTTTGGTACATAGAAAATGGCCAGATAGGACAACCAGCAGCTGCCCCACAGTGAGATCTTGATAGCCATTCTGTTGGATGAGTTATTGTATGCTAATGCTTCTGCAGAGATGACAGATGAAGGGCCTGCTCAGTGAGAATTATTGATGGATCTCAAGTTGGGAACAAAGAAAAGAGTTTGCCACAGAAGAGTGAGAGGTACAAAGGGAGTAGGTGCAGGGAGAGAATATGTGGCCATAGGACTTTAGCAATTGGCCAAGGGAGAAGAGGTTGGCAAAAGGAAGGAGCAGATGGGAATGAGGGAAGGAAGTTCTGTAGGCTTGAGGAAAGGTCAATCAAGTGTGCCAGTGGATGGCACAAATGGAACAATTGTGTGGAAGGTATATGACAGATGAAGAAGGAAGAAAAACAGTACAAGTGAGGCATCAATAGAAGGAAAATTAAATAAACAAGAAGCTGGCATCCAACAGATCAATGGAGCTAAAATTGATCCAAAGAGGTGGGGAACTCCGCAGTGCTGTTTGTTGCTGTTTCTA